AAAGGTACGTCTATATATCGTTTATGTACTCATTGTTTTATGTAAATTCTCTACTGTAATAAGTTAAAATATATATATTGTATTTTAGTTGACTGAAGAGGGGCAAAGCCCGAAACGAGTACAAAACAATGCACCGTATCGACTCAACTAATAAAGGAATTTAATGGAAAATTTGCCATGTGTCTTTGGAATAAAACACAATACTAGTGTTTACTACGCCACAAATTTGAATTTCATGTCCTGTAAAACCAAATAATTCGTTCCAACACGAAAAACACATTCAAATTAAAGCTAAGTAGTACATTAAAAAAAATAATAATAACTGTAAATAATTCTGTCTGTAAAGTTTTAATATATCTTTCTATTTAACATTTTGTTAGCTATTGGTGAATGCAAAAGTTTGCATTGTTCAGAACAAAACTCACAATGAAACTATTAAATTTTTTTATTCATTAATCAGGTTACATATATTCTTATTACATTATTTACATCAAGTGTGTGAGAAAGGGCAAGAAGAATATCTGATAGCCACCTCCTTTGTCTTGGAAGTGAAAAAAAAAAAATTCCTACAAAAGCTCCTGCTTGAGTACAGCGTTACAAAAAGTAATTAGATTACATCTTCCACCCACTCCAGTTATAGTAAGGTGGCGCACTTGGTTAGAGGCTATAACATTTCTTTCAGAAAATTTTGATAAAATTAAGGAATTCATTGGGAAGCTCAAGGATGTTTCAAGTGTAGTGTAACAAGTCAAGGATTTCATTTCATGTACAGATCAAGAAGATGAACTGTACGCATCCACTCATTCAAATGCCTTGTTGGATATATTAGGAAACTAGAAAACCAGAATTTAACAAAAGAGGAACAATCGAATGTTTTCCAGAGAACTTTAAACTCCTTATATAGATTTGCAAAAGAGAAACTGTTCTCTTCACTCTCTACAAATCCATATGTGGGAAAACTTGTTGACACTAAGAACTGGACTTTCATTTTATATGCCACTCACTTCCATTAAGTTTAAACAATCATTTTCAGCGTATTGTAATTTCCTGAGATCTAAACAGCATAACTGAACCTTCAATAATATTGAAATAATGATGGTGATTCAACAAAAGTATCATATTTGGAATGATGTGAATGAACATTTTATGTCTTAATACAAATAAAACCCTCTATGTATTAAACTGAAATTTCAATAAAAATAGAAGAAACATGTAAACAAAAAACAAGTGTAAATTTTTAGAAAGAACAAATTTCACACACAATGGTGCATATGTAGGTATGCAATTTTAATTAAATTTGCATGTAGGATTCCTATCTTTATTAATCATCCTTATTATTTTCAAATGTTAGATTAAACATATTAGATGAAATCATTCATCCAATAACTTAAATTATTCATCTAATATGAATAATTTTTTACCAGTGATTTTATATTCAATGATAATAAATTTATCTTTATTAGTTAAATTAAATGTTTCAGATATCAATTAATTAATGGCAAAAAAGTATTAGTTTCATTTATCTACAGTAGTTTTTTTTTGTCATGTTGTCAAATTTTAAATGAACATATTTAAAATGAAATCTTTGTTTGTTATGTAAAAATTATTAACACATTCTTTTAAATATTCAATTTTCACTTCTCAATATTATAACTTCATATTCTCTCTATTTCAATAAAGATTTAAAATTAAATATCTTTCCATATTAACTCTATGATACAGAATTATTTCATATTCTTGTCTTTTGAAAGATTTTTTAAATGAAATATGGCAACAATTGATGTTAACTGTATATTTAAGTCAAAAAATATTTAAGTCTTTATAATCCAGTATCCTTTTAAAAACGATTTTTCAAAAACAGTAATAATAAATTTTAAAAATTAAAAAGTTTTATAGAGGCAATGTAGAAAATTGTTAAGATTTAATAAATTATATTACTTATCCAAAAAGTTGTATTTAATGTTATACTTACTTCTGCTCTTTTTAGCATTTCCCATTTATTAAGTATCTTCATGGCATAGATTTTCCCATTAGTTTTCTGTTTGACAACTGCTACCTTAAAATTAAAAATAAATAAATTATATATAATTAAATAATTATATATTATTTTACTTATTCATAATACCTTGTCAAAACAAAAATAAGAAAATCAAATTTTTAATTACATTTAATCAATCTAAATATATAAAATTACTTGTCCTGACTGAGTCACTGATTGATTCATCATCACCCAAAACAAACTGCTGAACCTAAAAAGGTGAAATTTGGTACATAGAGTACGTCACAAAAATGCACACTAAGAAGGGATTTTTCGAAATTCCCCGCGAGGGAGAGGGAGAGCATTAAGTCTTAACCTGAAGAACGGCTTCTACTGTACTATTTTAGATGCAATTTTTTTTTTTTAATTACATTTAGTCTTCATTGAGTACTTAGGTGTATTAAATTGATAACATTTCAGACATTGTTATAAATATTTTTATATATTTTGATTTTTTAACCAAATGTTCAAACCGTTTTAAATTCAAATTTGTTATTGCATATTGGTTCGATTATAGAATGATTGTAAACTTTCCAGAAAATTAATCAAATTGAAAATAGTTCATTTGATTCTCAGCAATTCTCATTATTCTCAGCGGTAGGTGTTATATAACAATTACTATGGCTGTTGAAATACTGAATATAAATGGGGTTTGCTTACAAAACCCCCGCAGGCAAAGTCGCAGGTAACAGCTAGTTTAGATATAAAAAAATATTTACTGGTTAACTAATTATTGTATTAGGAGCTAATCCTTATTAATAATACATCATAATATCATCTCATTTCATTAAATATAATGATAATTTTTATAAATTCATATTAACATTTCAAAAAAAAATTTTTTTTAGAAATTAAACATTGAATTATATATTTTGACCAACATTTTAATCTTCTAAAACTAAACAACTATCAACCTAAAACTAAAAATCTTATTTAAGCCTAAATCCATCTATATTAGTCATATGCTTATTTCAACACTTTTCTAATATATAAAGAAAATAAATTTTATGGACTAACCTCTCCAAATGCACCTCGTCCAATAACTTTTAAAATCTCAAAGTCATCTTTTGTTAAACGTAGGTTCTTTATGTTCTGGACAACTGGTTTAGCTAAAATAATAAATATCAAAAATTTTTAGCTACATAATTACACTTTCATACTGTAATTATACTAATTATATTCTCTAAACAATTGTAGCAACTAACATTGAAGGATTTAAAAAAAAAGAAAATACAGTATTGACTTTATTTTCATGATTTTTATATATTTCGATTTTAAAGCTTAAATTCTATGAAGAACTATAAACATTTGTTAATACATACATGTACTGTATACATACATACATATTCACTCTCAAGAATAAAATCTCACAATGAAAAACTACATAAATAAAAACAATACTGCAAATCAAAAAATTCCAAAATGATAAAAATAAAAATTAGCACTCAATTACTTTTTCCTTTCAATAAATCAGTGAGATAAAAGCATTAAATTAAATTAATGCTTATTTTTTTCTGCTCAATAAATTATCATAATAGAAATAATTGGTATCATTATCTGGGAGTCTTTATAATTTTTAAATATAAAAAATTTTATATTACTTTAATAAAGCTAAGTACAAATTAGTAAATTCCAGATCTTTAAAAGTTTAATCTTTTTATGCAGTAACTTTTAATTTAATCTATAAAAACAAACAGCAACAGTCTTTTAGTTTCATTTAGAATGCTATCACTGATTACAGGTATAGCAATACCAGATTTATAGGAAAGCTAGAATAGGAAGCTAGGACAAAGAATAAGAAAATTGTACAATCAGTTCTGACTAAAGAAAACTAGGCAAAAGGCATAAAACATTGAAAATTTCTATATTCTAAAATCCATGGTTAAATATGAGACAACATGCTTGCTTGAATAAAAAAAATAATGAATAAGGTGTTTGCACTTAAAAATTGTGAAGTTTTGTATGTGGAATATCCTCAATTCTCAAATTGTATTGTAAGAATATTATATTGTTTGAGGGATACTTGTAATTGCAGAAATGGAGAAAATGTCACAAAAACTAAAAAATTTACACCTTAACATAACTCCCGCAATATAAATTTAATAAGCAAGAACATTTTGGACCTAATTTAACTCCTCAGTTGTTGAATATATAATGGATATCAAACTGAACCAAAAACAAATTAATAAAAATACAAACTAAAATGCATAAAATTTAAATCCAAGGTAAAAAACAAAAAAATAAACAACATTGAATAATAAAATTAACAAACGTAAAAATAACGAACAATAAATATTAAATTGTAGTGATAATACATTGTACAATTTGTAACAATTGAAGTGATAATACATAAATTTGACCAAATCAGATTTCATAAAGTAATTTCCACATAGCTGCTAAAGAGTCCAGATCATGGTAGTTAACACAACTGTTGTTTCTATTTGCTCTTTATATCTCTAAAACCCTAAATATTTAAGGGAATTAAAGTCATTGGCAGATCTAACAATTTTGTCTTCATCCTAATTAATTTACATCTATGACAGCTAGCATATGCTGTTAGGGCTGTACTGTCCAATTTCTTGTTGATTGCATACTTTTGTTTCTTAATGCACCATGTCATAAGGCCGGAATTGTCATGGAGTGATTCAAGGAACATTCCAGTGAATTTCAAGTCATGTGGTGGCCTCCGAATTCACCTGATATCAATTCAATTGAACGTTTGTGGTTCCACCTGAAACTGAATTCATGCTGCCACACAACCACCTCGCAATGTTCGGGAACTGGAAAACCAGCTGGTGAGCACCTGATACCAGATACCTCAGACTGCCTACCAGCATCTTGTCAAGTCAATGCCTCGCTGCATGTTGGCAGTTTTGAGGGTGAAAAGTGGTTCTACATTGTATTAAACAGGTAGTCATAATGTAATGGCTCTTCAGTGTATATAGCTAACATTTTATTTTATTGTATTTGTAAAAATATTTCTCTGAAAATTTTTGGATTGTGTAATTTAGCTTGAATGTTTAAACTTTAACTGATACACATAATGTTCTATAATTTTGAATTGTGCTTGAAAATTCAATTTTATTTAAAACTTTGAACCTTACAACATCCTGAAGAAGACCATTAAAGATGGTTGAAAACATTAGCATTCAGTAATTAAAATGATGGAAAACTATTATTTATTATAAAATTTAAATATATATATGTTATGGTTGTTTTGGAATTTTGTATTTGCCACTAATGTGGTAGCACAGATATGACAAACAACACCAAGGTAACTGAATGAAAGTATTATTTAATAGAGAACGTTGTATACTGCTAGGACTGTACAGAAAAGACTCTTTGTGAGCTGATGATGAATGATGAATATCTCTTTCTTCTCGACACACACTGACCATTGGCATCATGTGGTCTTTTCTTAGTATTGACCATTATTCCCTGACTAGTAACTGGGTATGGTGACCTAGGGCATTGCAGGTGCAAATGCTACACATATATATATTAGAAATTATACATAAATTAATATATATTTTAAATTATATACAGTACAATCTCATTAATTGAAAATTTAAGGAGTAAGAAATATCCCAATTTGAGTTTAGTTAACAAGTTTAATATACAATTTTCTCAAATTTTTCTAAACATGAATTTCCTGTTATCAAACCATTTCTCAACAATTAGTTCACAGAATGATTACAAAATTGTACACAGTTTATGGGATTTTTGAGTGCTTTTTCAAGGTGCCTCCTTTGTCCCAATCAGAACACAAGTAACATACTGTATCAGTAAAAGCTAAAAGGATTCAACATAAGGTTGTAATGGCATAGTGTTGTGTTTGGGATTAAACCATTATTTTTGTTTATCTTAATCATCTGCATTCAAACAAAATATAGGAGAAAATGGAGACCATAAATGAAGCAAAGGATTGAGGATACATGGGAAAATAGGTTTGAGTTAAAAGTACCAACAATTTCAACTTAACAAGACCATATTATATTGAAACACAATATACTGTGCCTGGGACCTGTAGACAGCTTCAACTTAATGCAGTTTGACTTAGGTTAAGAGGTTATGTATATATGGTAAGACCCCGCTTAACGCAGGGGATGTGTTACAACAAAGCGCTAAGTGAAACAGCATTAAATGAGGTCATTTTAACATAGAGTAAATAGGGATAGAGGAACATGCAACCAAAAATAAACAAATTTTACTTTAATTTTAAGTTATTTTTATATTAATTTGCATAATTATATATGTTAAATAACACACAAACATATGCACACAGAAATGTATAATAATATATTAATTAGTTCATTTTTTATATATTAATAGTTCATTTTTTGAGATGAAGGTCCTGACTTTTCTGAAATTGTTGTTCTTTTGTAATAAAGTTGTGAAGTTCCATTTGTCACTTTTTTCTTTCCTTAAACAAATGTCAGTAGCAGAAGATCGCATTCAAAACACCTCATTTTGCTTTTGCACTCCTTTCAAAATCTGGATCATTTGCTACAATTTGATTAATGATTTCAGTTATCATTACCAAACTTTTACTAAGGAAATCCGTAGAGAAGTTTTTTGGGTTCTTTGTTTTCAGAATCTCTATTTTCCAGTTCTACATGAATTCCTTGTTCTGCCAGTTCTTGAAGGTTGTCGTTGGTAAGGCTCTCACCAGAAACCTGCAGTAACTCCTCAATATCCTGCTCATTTACATCTAGTCCTGCTGTATCGAATAGGTTGACAATTTGGTCAACCTAACAATACAGTGATAGGCTCTTCTCGTTGAGAATTCTTGGATACCTTTAGCCATAATTTCTTCCACACTCCATTCATGCATTTCTCAGTTAATTCTTGACAAGCGAAGTCGATATTTCTTATGGCATCCTTGATGTTATATTTTTTCCAAAGTTGCACCAAACAAACATAGATTTAAAGAAAGTATACCTTTTTGCCACCTTTTGCTGATCGGTTTGTGTTCACAAATAATCATATTATATATGAATCAATGAAATGCTGCAATAATTTAAATCAGCATGAATTTTGAGCTTTTTTAAGGCTTCAAGCAGACCGCATTATATTGAATCAGCGTTAAGCGGGGTCTTACTGTATTTTACATATAGTAAAACCCATCAATTTGGACACCCCCATATCTTGAATACTTTCACACAGAACTGGATAAATCCCTGAACTCTTACATTTATATGATACTCTGTATCTTGGACACCTGATATCCGAAGTTCAAAGGAGAGAAGTATCCAAGATATAGAGTATATTGGACACATCTCTACTTTGAACTTTGGACATCATTTTGTGATTTTAAGTTAAAAATTAAAGAAATTTCTGAAGATGTCTAACTATTGAGTCATCCTGTTTTAAGGTCTTATCAGTTAAAAACTGATAAGAAAATTTATGACAAACATCCTTAATGGCATTTTGGGAGATTTTCCATATTCCTGTCCACTAATAGTCTCAGGCATAATTTCTTCCTAAAGACCAGGCTGTGTTCAGTAATGCAGAACACCTAAGTTAGAATTCTGAGTGGCTTAGTAGATGGAGCTAAGAATGTTCTGAGCATCATTGAACAATTTTTCTTAGTTAGACAACTGGGCAAAATGGTGAAAGAAGTTAAAATTATGATTGCAACAATTGTCACAAATGAACTGGGTCGAAAAAGATGAAGTAACCAATACAATTATTCAAATGGAAGCTGCGTCAGATCATGAAGAAATTAATGAAGCAATTATTAATTGTAATCAATGAAATGAACCGTTATCTTTTGTTAAAATGTATTCGAAATCTGTTATACTGACATATCATAATTTTACATTTCAAAGTCATTTTAGAATAAGTAGACATTTAATCCACTTTGTGATTGTTATAATAAAATACATTTAGTCTTTAGTCCAACACAAGCAGCCATCTTGCAAATTGTACAATGAGACAAAAACAACAATGTCACTAGTAGAAGTTAGCATACATAAAAGAAGCTGACTGAACTAGCTAAAATTCTAGCAGTGGGAGGAGTCACACAGTAGTTAGAAATGAGTTCAACATTGCAGCATAACTAGACATAACAAGAATTCTGTTACTGAACACTGCCCAGGATTACTCT